CTTGGTAGAACATATTTATGGATATTTTAGGTATGAGGACAAGTAAATTTTGTTTTAATTATATAAAATCTTAAATTATCGTGTTAAAAAATATTGTGATAATATATTTTTGTATTTATTATTCTGAAATTAATATATAAGTGAATTATTATATTGATGAAAAAAAATACGAGAAGTTAATAGATGTGAGATTATACGATAAACTTGTTTATTTTCTATGTACTACAATTAAAATAAAATAAAAAATTAAAAATGATTAAATGTGATGCAATATTAAGGTAGCTACTAAAAATAAATTAAAAACTCATTGATAAGTTGACAACCGGAAATGTCCAAAGAAGTTACTAATGTTTAGGGATTGAAAAAAAAAAAACCTGTATCCCCTTATATTTGCAGATAAAATTTGGTATAAAATTTGAATAACTTATTGTATAAGAAATGAAGTCGAGAGAAATAGTTTGAATATAATCAAAATCTTGAGAGTTAACAAAATTAAAGAATATTCTCATCAATATTATGATAAATAAAAAAAAGGTAAATAAACATTTGCTTAATAATAAAGTAAAACATATTGTAAAGTAATTCTTCGACTATATTTGTAAGTAACTATGTTTTAAAAATATTTTTAATTACAAATAAAATAATATAATTTAATTAATTTTTATTATAAATATATATGTCATGTTTGATTGGCAAGAGTTTTACCATGAGTAATAAAGAAAAATTATAAGTAAGAATGTTTAATTTAATCATTCTTATAGGTCTCGAGAGAAAATCAGAAATGAGATTCTGATTTTCTTTAATATGTTTACTAGAGAAATCATACTTGAAGAATTAATATTTGAATCTAATAAAATAAGAATATATTGAGAAACATTTTTTTTTTTAATTCGAGAATTTTTGTAAAAGATGATTCAAAGATGATAAAAACCTCTTCACATCTTGAAGAGTCAACTGGAAGACTACAATTTATTTCTTCAAAGATGATAAACTATTACAATCTTGTTAAGAAGAATATTAAAAAATAGTATTTTTGGAAAAACAAAAGAGAGAAATAAGAAGACTCAAAATTCAAGTATAACATATGAATAGCTGCATAAAAGCCAAAATAAATGAAAAACAAACATCTGAACCAAATCCATATTACACCTCACTTATTTTTTAATATAAATATATTTTTAAAATTTATTTAATTTTGAATTTTGGTTTTTATAAAGCTTTTCATTTTATTAAATATTACGTATTGATAAATACTCTGAATATATAAAAATAAATAAATATTGATTAAATAGATACGGTGGTGGTCCATTAGCATCCCTACTAATTTCTATGTGTGTGAATACAAGATGCGAGAAATGGGTGTAGATTAGGTGTGGTGGTGTTGGTGAGGGAGCAAGTGATTCCAAATCCAACGTAGGAGGAGTGGAAGTAGAGAGTAGAGAGAGTGAACTGAACATGTACATGTTAGTGGAAGTGGAACCTCATTGCTTGATGGGGGAAGGTTCCGTGGGGTCCATGCTAAATGCGGCGAGACGCAGCATTGCAGAAAAATTAAATTAAATAAAATAAAAGGCATTTGCTGCACTTGCTTTCCATTCACCACATCCTCCTCAAATCCCTTTTGTTTTTCCTTCACTTTCTTTCCTCTCCACATTCTTATTGGATTATCTGGGATTTAGCAAAATATTGCGATTTCGGTGGCTTTGCCCACAAGTGCTTCCCACTCCCTCCACCATTTTGGACTTCCAAGACAAACCATAAATTTAATCAAAATCAGAAACCAACATAAATATATACTGCATTAGTTATTCTCTCACTATTATTTAATTTTCTCTATTTTTATATTTCTTCTGCCACCAATTCGCTTTAAAATAGGATAGATGTTTAACATTTTTCTTTATCTTATACAGTATACTTACTTTTTATAAGAGACAATTTTATTCAAATTGAATAAAATAATTTCAAACAATAAAATCCTCACTTTTCGATTATTTAAAATTAATATATACTAAAAATACTTTCGGTTAATTCGCACGCTCAACTCAATGACAGTATGAACACAATTTATTTAGAGTGTGAATATGTGAAAGAATATAAAAAGAAAGCAAAATGTGAAAGACGAATAGCAACATCAATATATTAATGCAACTTATAATTGTATCGTTTATTAAATATTACGTATTGATAAATACTCTGAATATATAAAAATAAATAAATATTGATTAAATAGATACGGTGGTGGTCCATTAGCATCCCTACTAATTTCTATGTGTGTGAATACAAGATGCGAGAAATGGGTGTAGATTAGGTGTGGTGGTGTTGGTGAGGGAGCAAGTGATTCCAAATCCAACGTAGGAGGAGTGGAAGTAGAGAGTAGAGAGAGTGAACTGAACATGTACATGTTAGTGGAAGTGGAACCTCATTGCTTGATGGGGGAAGGTTCCGTGGGGTCCATGCTAAATGCGGCGAGACGCAGCATTGCAGAAAAATTAAATTAAATAAAATAAAAGGCATTTGCTGCACTTGCTTTCCATTCACCACATCCTCCTCAAATCCCTTTTGTTTTTCCTTCACTTTCTTTCCTCTCCACATTCTTATTGGATTATCTGGGATTTAGCAAAATATTGCGATTTCGGTGGCTTTGCCCACAAGTGCTTCCCACTCCCTCCACCATTTTGGACTTCCAAGACAAACCATAAATTTAATCAAAATCAGAAACCAACATAAATATATACTGCATTAGTTATTCTCTCACTATTATTTAATTTTCTCTATTTTTATATTTCTTCTGCCACCAATTCGCTTTAAAATAGGATAGATGTTTAACATTTTTCTTTATCTTATACAGTATACTTACTTTTTATAAGAGACAATTTTATTCAAATTGAATAAAATAATTTCAAACAATAAAATCCTCACTTTTCGATTATTTAAAATTAATATATACTAAAAATACTTTCGGTTAATTCGCACGCTCAACTCAATGACAGTATGAACACAATTTATTTAGAGTGTGAATATGTGAAAGAATATAAAAAGAAAGCAAAATGTGAAAGACGAATAGCAACATCAATATATTAATGCAACTTATAATTGTATCGTTTATTTAAAGAGTTAATCACCTATACATTGTCAGTGTAAAGTTTTTTTATACTGACAATCAATTATATCTTTTAATTGTGTCATGTCACTATAAACATATTTATTTTTAACAGTTACATGACATAATTAAAAGATATAATTGGTTGTTAATGTAGAAAAACTTTACACTAAGAGTGTATAGGTAATTAACTCTTATTTAAAAAAGTTCTTGCATCAAAAATCAAATTTAATTCAAATGCGTTGATATTCTAAAAAAGGTTGTTATATTTTTAATTGAGTGTTTAACACAACCTGCAATTTTTAATATTCAAATTCAAGACATTTAGTTAAATTAAATTAACTCGCCATTAAATAATTTCCATTCTTCTTGCTTGACAGTCAAGTTCTCAAGTTAAATAATGACATATGCATTCTTTTAATAATAAATAACTTTCATCGATATATGTCGTAACATCTAAATAAAATATTTATAAAATATAACAACAATAATGTAAAAAAATAATTTTTGAAATTATGCTATTCATATAATTTGTTTAGAATATTATTTATTTGAGAATCTTTCTTCATCACATCTGTGATTTTATTTCACATGTTTTCCCTTCTCTTCTTATCTATCTCATGGCTGATAAAATATTACACACTATTGTTTCTTGAAATGCCACTTCTCTTAAATTTCGCCTTTTTACAAGCACGCATATTATCAAACTATTAAAATAACTCGTCTGAAGCGCACACACTGTCCTACTTTATAAAAAAAAATAATGAACAGGTGACTATTAGGTGAGTGAGATAAGAAATAATTATGACACGCTAGTGAAATGGTAATAAAATATTTATGTAATAAGATTTTATAATGAGTAGGAATTGGACAAGAAAGGGAGAGGGCCAAACCAAAACTAGACGCTGACGCGAGCCGTGTTCTTTGGTAAAGGCAAAGAAACGAACAAAGACAAGAAGCAATCACCACACCAGTTTCATTTGTAGCTCCTCGATTCCTAATTTCTCATCTCCTTGTTACTTTCTACGCCTTCTAGCATACTCCAAAAGCCACCCTAACAACCCATTCTTCTTTTCATTATTTATTTATTGACAAATATATTTTTCTATTTTCTCGTTTCTGCGCTGCAATTGTTCAGTTTTACCAAACTCCCCCATCAAAGACGGGGGGCTGAACTGCTCAGTTAATTCCAAAATCCAAAGCAAAAAGATTTGTGTACACTGTCTCCGATTGCACACCTACCACCAAAGTATTTCCTCAACAACATATGCTAAAGTAAAGTTCATGTAGATGTGAGTTGTGGGAGTATTTTTAACAGTTAACAAGTATAGGATTCTGCAAAAATGATCCTTACCATTAAAGCCTTCTCAAACCTCCATCCTCCGCATTATTCTCCTATTCTTAAAGTATAATATTTGGTCAAACTCAAACCTGTTATGAATCATTCAGTAGACTTGTAAATAAGTAATATATATATACAGACATAAGGTTTTGAATAAGGGCTTATGAAAATTAAGAATTTGATATGAAATTATTCAAATCAATTATACCGAAGGAATTGGACTCTAAATTATATTATCAGAAGCTATCGGATCCGGTCATTTGGAAGTGCAGATGCTTATTTATTAATTTATTTAAAATGAAAGCACAAATTTAAAGGTACAGAATTGAATATTGTACTAAGTTGAAAGGTTGAAGGGCAGGTAAATAACAAGGACATATGGATTGTGTCTGAGTCATCAGACAGCTCCCACATGCCGTTTGAGAATGGATCAGGTCAAATTCTTTAATTACGGGGGTAGCTGGTAAACCATACGCAAGTAATCAAAACTGAATATTCACTATCAACCTCCTTATTTCTATCAATTCCTCCGTATTAAGCTATGCCCTCCACAAACTTTTTCTCTTGTAAAAACGAAATATATGTATTTAATTATTTAATATTCATCATTCATGTCACACCATCATAACATGCCTGATAGATCAAAACCCAAAAAAAAAAAAGGAAAAAAGGAAAAATTATGACCGACGAACCCTCATCTTCCTCTCCCTGTCTACAAAGAACAACAGAGAGAAAAATCCTGTGCCGGCATGTCTTACAAAATCTCACCGGATTTAAACACCGGGAAAACCTCTTCTCAAATAAAGCGAAGAAACAAAAACTCGAAACTCAGATGAAAAGGTTCAGCGCTTTCCGGTCACCGTCGGCGGCGTAGTGATCTCCGATCCCGCTCTCCAAACACGCCGTCGTCGTCACGGACTCCTCGGAGTTCATCGACGGCGATCCCGGCCGGCGAATTTCCCGGCACGCGTTCTGCAGGAAACTCGGAGTGAGTCGCAGGTTAAGATCGGTGGTTGTCTGAAGCTTCGCGAGCTCTTCAAAACGCTTGCGTTTAGCGCCGGAAGCAGCGTTACCGGACCTGGAACCCGGGAGCCGGAAATTCGGGTTCGGATCTCGGACCCTCCACTTGTCGGTACAGGTAACTTCCCCTTCGGAGGCCTCGTCGGCGGTGGGAGCGTCTAGGCCGAGAAGCTCCGGCATGGGGCGGAGCGTGCCGCCGCGGAGTACCGTCTCAACGGCGGCCTGGCAGACGTGCCAGTTTCCGGTCCAGAGAAGGCCCACGGCGCCGTTAACAGGGTTCACCGTTCGCCCACACGCTTCGAACAACAGAGATTGAAACAGAGCTGCAATAAAAATAAAAATAAAATAATTAGAAGGTAAGGTTAGTGAGGTAAAGTTAAAAAAGTAAAATTGAATTTAATTGGATTATTACAAGGTCTTTGAGATTGTGGGACGTTGGAAATGAAGGACATAAGGTCGGCACGGCCGAAGAATTTGGCTACGAAGACAGTGGCATGGCCTTGGGCCTCGGGCGTGTCGATCCACTGAAGACAAGGTCGCAGGATGCAAGACTCGCTGCAACCCTTGCGTAGGACCCTGCAACCGTTGCAACTCATGGGGAGAGAGAGAGAAGAAGAAACAAAAAAGTAAGCTCAAGTGGTTTGTGAACTCTTTGCGAAACGCACCTCACATGAAGGCTACGCTAACTAAGGAGAGGAAGGAAGTAACGGGAAAAGAAGACGGAGAATGGAACTAGAATGGGGTGCAGTTGGGGTATAAATAAACGTTAACGGAGGGGAGGAGGGAGAGGGTTGGGAATTAACCAGGGTTGGGTTAGGTTAGTTGGGACTTGGGACTTGGGACTTGGGAGTGTCAAGTGTGGAGTGACCGTGGCTGTGGCTGTGGCTGTGGCTGTGGCTGTTTGTGTTTGTATGGGAAGGGTGAGATTCCAAGGACTTGGGCGTGAGCGGCTCCGTGTCTCCGCGGATGGATGTTCCTCCACCGTTGGATTCTTTATATTTTTCTTTCAGCTTTAGATTTTGATGGGTGCCCGTCCTTTTCACCCTGCGTCGAATCATAGCCTTACTTGCGTTTCCTCCATGCAACTCTTTCCATTCCTAATCTTCCTTTTTTCTTTATTAATACTTCCACACTACACTCTAATATTTATATCTTCTTTCAATATGAGAAGGAACAACCATAATCAAAGGCTTCACCAGTTCAAAGGAGTAAAATATTTGTTGGAGTTATTAAAATTTCTAGTAATTTTACTAATTAAGCTTCGTTCTAGTTACTTACAAAAAAATTTACACTCGGACAGTTTATAAAAAAAAACTGTGGTAGTAATTTTGAGAAAAGTTTAATAGTCACTCACTGTCTACTTGTCCCGTTAACTAATCAGAAATCATTATTAATAATATTATTAAAATAGTTATTATAAAAGATATTAAATTTATCTATATAATATTTTATAATTAGATAATGATGATAAACTGATTTACATTTAAGATATATAGCCTTTTATTCTTTTTTCTAAACGATATAATTTGTGTAACTCTATCTTGATTCATACAAATTTGTGAAATCTAAGTACAACCAGAATGAATATGTACATGATAATAGAGTTGAGAAAACCATACCATCTCACTAATCCAGCTCAAAAACAGATAATAGAATAGCTTTAGATTTTAAAATTAGATTTGAAGATTTTTTTTAGGAAAGATTTAAATTATATTCTGAATCATCATACATCGGTTTTATACTAAACATTCTTTTTGAAAAAATATAAATTAGGTTAAATTATATTTTTATTTTTTATTTTATCTTATTTGTTAGACTTATTTTAATTTTAATTTTTTAAAATATTCATTAGGGTCTTTTATCTCTTAAATTTAAATTAATTTAATTCTTTTGAAACAATGATTATTTTAATTAACTTTGATATATGATTTTGAAATTTTTTTTAACTGATTGAAAACTTAAAATTTATCTCATTAAATTTACTTATATGAAAACTGTTAAACGTAACAAAAGTTCAAATAAAAAAAAAATATATTATAAACATGATGAAAATTGCATAAAAATAAATTTAAAAGATAATTCAAATTTTAAAAACTATAATTTCATCTTATTTTCTAGTTACTTATTAGATTTTTATTATGTTATAACTCTTATGAATTCAACACCAATTAAATTTTATAATTTTTATATAATTGAATATATTATTATAAATTTCATGTCTCAAATCAGTTGAAAATTGATTCAAAATTAAGTTACAAAATTAAAAATTATTATTATTATAGAAAAGACCAAATTAATCTAAATATAAAAAATAAAGGACTAAAATAAATGTTTTAATAGATAAAGGACTAAAATAAATATAATAAATAAGATAAATTACCAAAATATAGTTTAACTTATAAATTATTGAATAATTACGTATTAACTTATTAATAATAAAATTATTTTTTTATCAATCAAAATTACAACGTCTATAAAAAAAATTTGAATCTAAGACATTATGTATGCATTATTTTATTTGATAAATAATATTTTATAACATGATATTATATTTATAAGGATATTATTTATTTTAAAATATAAATTATAAAATATATTTTGATTTAATTTGTCTACCTCTTTTATTTTACAATTTAATTATATAAAATATTAATATAATATTTAAAATGCAAGTTAACTCAATCTTATCTTTTATATTTTGATATGAGTTGAATTCAATTTTAAATAAATAATTTCATCAAAATTTTAGATCAAAGATAAATTCTATCCAATTCATCCTTACTTACCCCTATATACTTGTTGTCATTTGTGAGTTAATCACTTATACACTGTCATTGTAAAGTTTTTTTTACACTGACAATCAATTATATTTTTTAATTGTGTCATGTCACTGTAAATACATTTACTTTTAACAGTGACATGGTACAATTAAAAAATATAATTGTTTACTGATGTATATAGGTGATTAACTCGTCATTTGTACCTCTCTTATATAAACCTTTTCATTTTAGGACTCTTTTGTGTGAATATGGATGAGAAATGTATTCATATATGGGCTCCCGCCAATTTTGGTTGCTTGTTCATAATTGCCACGGACTATAATCTAGTGTTTAAAAAAATGCAGTAGAATATAGAATGTGATTTGTTTTTTTCACCGGTTTAAAGGATTAGAATATTTTTTGGAGTAATCAGAATTTCCGGTAATATAATTTTACAAATTAAGCTTTGTTGTAGTCACTTAAAAGATTTTTTTGTTTGTTTTTTTTTATTTATAAAAACACTTATAAGAATTCTAACGCTTGATACATATAGAAAATAAAGAAAGTGAAAGTTTGATAGCTTGTTTGGACTTTCATCTACTATACAGTATACACATTTCGTATAAAATTCGTGTCAAAACAACAGAAAACATAAAAAGGTGAAAAATATTTTGAAGAAGCTTCATCTTGACTCACTATCCTGCAAAAACGTGAAACTAAATACACGGAGAGTAAATATGCATCGGATGTCATTTGTGACTCATACCAACTTTTTCATGTTAGGTTGGTGCCTTTTGTGTGAATGCTTGAAGATGTCCTCGTATAGGCTCATGCAATTTTCGATTGCTTGTTGATAACTGCCACTGACTACAATCTAGTGTTTCGCACATGTATTGGTTTTTGTATGGAAGGGAACATTTTCAATTAAAGTTGTGTAGCAGTCTATAATATGAAGCTATATATGTTAACGATTGTTTTGTTATGTTTCTATCTATCTATAATGGAGTTATGTGTAACATTGTACATATTTATTAATTATTATTGATTTTATTAATAATTATGTAATGGTAATTTGATGTTTAAATGGTTGAGAACTTCAAATTTTTTTAGGAGTTTTAGATGATTTAGAAATTTTTTTGGGTAGATGTCTAATTTGATTATGAAGGAAAGATATATAAGATGTCTTTTAAGATTTGAGTTTCATAAGTTCACTATTAAAAAACCTTAGTAAAATAGTAGAGAAAATAGTTCTTGTATTCTAAAAACTCTTCTTCTTTCTAATCTCCTGTGAGTTGTAGAAGATCTACATTGAGCATCTAATCGGTGTGATTCAAGGCTATTGAGGCTGAGAATTTAAGTTGGTGTGGAGCATTGGTGTTAGCTCGAAGTCATTTTTCTTCCCCCTCCTCGTTTTTTTTCAATTTTGAGGTAAGGGAAGCTAGACTTTATCTTTGAGTTGTGTGCATGAAATAGTTGTTGCATGATTTTATCTATGTGGTTGAGTTGTATGAATGATGAAATTTGGTTGTGAATTTTTGGGGTTCTTCGTTTTTCCAAGGGGTGAACTTGGTGATTTGGTGATTTCTTAACCTATTGTTGTTGCATTTTGCTAATGTGATGGTAAATGAGTCGTTGATGATGAGTATATATGAATGGGTGCAATGTGTGCTTGGAATTTCTTGATTTTTAGGTGAAGAAAGCCAATTTAGTGATTTTACTATGTGTAAAAATCATCACCGCATCAGACGCACTTTCATGGCACTGGACGTGACTCAAATCAGGAGCTATGTACTCTGATCATGTCAAACATAGGATTGGTAATGTTGGACGTGATGAGAGAGAATCATATTTGCTTGATCACGTCGAACATGGTTTGAATGTCGTCGAGCATGATAAGAGAGAAATGTCTCTTACTTGGTGACATCGAGCCCTAGTAAAGGGGGGATGCTAGACATGATCAAGACAAAGGCTCTTTGCCTAGATGATGACGAGCACCAATTCAGTGACACTGAACATGAGTTGAGTAAAGACTTTCTCCCTAAATGAGGTTAGGCGTGAGGTTTGGCAACTCCAGGTGTGAGAGCAATAGAGACTATCTGTCTCGTCCATGTTGGGCGTAGGTTGAGTGGTGTGAGGCATAGGCGAGCCTTAGAGCTCTCTGGCTCAATGATGCCAAGTGCAAGGAGATTGGCATTGGGCATAGGTTGCCTTTTGAAAATATGTTGTTTTGTTGATGAATGTTGAAAATGTATGGGTTAGTTGAATCTATTACAATGTTGTATGTTGATATATGTTGTTAGTTATTTATACATTGGGGTCAATGTATATTGATGATTGAATTGTTAATAGTTGAATATTGTTGAATGGTGTTGGTTATATATACATTGATATAAGATAATGTATATAAACGATTAATTGTTGAACTATTGAGGCATTAATGTTAAGAATGCTTAAGACGTTAAAGTCTATTGTGTTTATTGACTCAGGACTAAAGGATAAGGTGTTTTAAAAAATTGGATATCTCATTTTGAGGATATTGTTGGTGCTCTACGAGCTTAATTATTGAAAACCTTTATTGAGTAGTTGACTTTTGAAGTAGATTGTTTAGTCTCCTCTATGACCTTATTTAATGCGGTATATGGGGAAGGTCGAGTCATACTAACTATAAGCATGATTTTCAACAAGTGTAAGGGTCGGTCGAACTATATTGCTTACAAGTGACCAATGTTGATCTGTCTATAGACAAGACCAAGACATATGTGTATAAAGTGATCAAATTGAGTAAGGTATAAGATTGAAGGCCAAAATCCCTAACTAAGTACTAGAAGAGTGTAGTATTTGAAGAGTAATCAGCGAGCTAATCTTGTAGGTAATTTAATTGTGCAAGCTAATGTTGTGATAAACTCACACCAAAGCCATTTTACCTTAATAGGAATATTAGACTTCCTAGTGTAATGACAAAATTCGAGAAAATATGCTGTTATGGATTGGTATCCAAATTGGTTTTTGATCTAGCAAGTGTAAAAAGGTCGTGTTGGTTCAGTAAGATCAAGCTTCTTAGATTGCTCACCTCTATTGTAGGAGGTCTCCATAGTTGAATGCATGACAACACACGTAGTTGAAATGTTATGAATATAATGTGTTGAGTGTGGTTTAAATTGAAATGATTAAGTTGTTTACCTTTTAAGGTTGTTGAATGTCATGTTGAGGTGTTGTTGTTATGTTGTTATAGTTGTAAGCCACGAGATGTTGTGTTGCATGGTTTACATGATGAGGTTGATAGTATACATGCATTTACTTTTATTTTTGTTATATGTTTATTGT